TTTAAATAGTCAAACAAGTAGCTTACTTTTGTTTGAAGTAGTGCAGCAGGTTGCACTTAGGTACCCTTAGAGTGGCTAAGTGCTGCTAGACTTAGTTGTTAGATAAATCTATATAATTGCAAAAGTAATTTCAAGAGTCTTAATAAAGTACTAGCATAACTGCTTAAGTTAAAAAAAAAAAAGACATGGCCTCACTGTTAATATTTAAAAACAAAATAACAATATATAATATATAATAATAATAAATAATAATAATAAAATAATAATTATTATTTATTCTATAATGTTTATTTTTTTAAAAAATTTATTTTATAAATTCTTATATTCTAATTAGTTCAAGAAGTTAAGTTTACTTGTTATCTAGCAACTTAATAATATGTATTATAGTAATATATATTAACTATAGAATTATTTTTTTTGGTTATAATTTGAAAACTTCATACATTTTAAAAGTATCTTTTTAAGTATTTTTTGCTTTTCTTGTAACTTGAGCATTTTAAATAAGATCCTTAATTACTAATAGATTATTAAACTTAAATATTATTTGTCTTAGATAGTAATATGTTTTAATTTTCTTGTTAAAATTATATTAAATATGTTTAAAAGTAGATAAAAACTTTAAGATTCAATTAACTTATTTTTTTTATATTTCTTTAAAAAAAAAGATAGTTAAACTTTGAGTTGTTGGTATAAGTATTTGTTTTAAATTATTTATTATTTGAGTTAAATAGTTAATATTATTATTTTTTAACTTTGTTGTTACTTCATTAAGTAAAGCTTTAATTAAAAAAAGTTGTATTTCTTTTAATTGTAGAAATTCATTAATATTAAATTTTACTAAGACTACTATTATAGAGTTTAAGTTGATAATTTTTTCTAATTTTTTATTAATCCAAATAAAAATATTTTAAAATATATATATAAATGATTTTGAGATAGGATCCTGTTTTCAGATTTGAAAAAAATTGGTTAAAGCAAATACTTTTTCTGATTTTAGTTAAAAATTCTATTTTTAGAAAAATTTGTATAATTTGAAAATATTTATATAAATTTCAAATATTACAATCTTTAAATAATTGTAATATTAAAAAATTTGTATAATATTATTGTCTTTTTCTTTAATTTTAGAATTTTTTTTAGAAATTCTAGTTATTCAATAAGAATGAAAGATTCTTATACCATATTGTCATGTAATAATGCCCATCTGCATATTATTTAAAGTATATAAGTATTATTTAGAATATACTTATGGGTGTTATTTTGAGATAAAAAGTAATTTCACTATATTGAATATTCCAAATAATGCTCATGTACACTAATCAATAAACTGGTAATCCTATATTCCAAATAATGCTCATGTGCACTAATTAATAAACTGGTAGTCCTATGATACTAATCAATAAACTAGTAATTAGTTATATAAAAGCTTTCATGTTGCTGTATTGTAATCTTTAATTACAGATTTTTACTTGCATTATTTGGTCATTTATTTGTTTTAGTATTTATGAATCTTTTTAAAATAATTTTAAAGCTACATTTTTAAATTAAAATTTTTTATATTACATATAATTGTGAAATACCAGTTTACTTATATAAATATACCAATAATGATAATCATATTTTTAAATTTCAATATAAGAACATACTAATAATGATAATTGTATTTTTAAATTTTGATTTTGGAATTTTTTTTGATTTTATAAAAAAAAAAAATCCTTGGATAAACTCTATTATATGTCATAGCTATAAGTAATACTCTATATATTATATTTAGAGTATATTAGACTTCAAAGACCTAAGTCTCAATTAATCAGATTTGGTGTTGGCAATATAGTATGCAAAAGTATATTAGTAATTTGTGCAGTTTTGATGTAGTTTAAACATAGTCTGATAGTTTGCATTATCTTGCATGAATATTTGTATATTACTAATTTAAGTCTAATAAACTTAAATTAGTATATATAGAGATAAAGAATTAGTAATAAAAGTTAGCTTTTCTTTTTTGTAATTGAGAAGTGCCTAAACATAAATAAAATACTGCTTACCTGTAGAATTAGCTCCATTGTGTCTTGTGTGCCATTATTGTAATAGAGCATTAAGCAGTGAACATCTTTGCAGTCTATTTAGTGTAAAACGAATAAAACTGAAATTAAAGCAGTATCTGCATAATTGAGCTGAATTAATAATAGAAACTTACCTACTACTAACCCACATGACATTATACTTTACAATTTTTTTTTTTTTTAAATTTTTTTTTTTTTTGAATTTTACAAAAAAAATTTTAAACTATTCTATTATACAATAATAATTTACAATAATGCCTTCCCAAAATGATATTCTTATTGCTAATAATTATTAGCATTAAGACAAAATGAAGAAACCTATTGTATGAGCAAATGCAAAAATTTATTTGCAAACTTATATCATTAAAAATTGAACTGATTAATGCATTTGTCCTAAATACTATAGAGCCACTTTTGATATTATATATACATATATACAAATCTTTTTTTTCTTGTATCACAGAATATAAATATAACATTATTATCTTTTTTATGCATACTTATCTAGGTTGTTTACTTAGTTGCAATTGAATATAAGCACAAAGTAAAGTTATATTATTGCATTTAAACTGGAAGTAATTTTCTATGAAAAAAATATATCTAACCATTATGCTTCTTTATACTTCAAAGTTGATCGAAAATAAGTGCAAGAGTGGTGCAAACAGAAAAAGAAGCTTGAAACTATAAGGAACAATAAAGATTTAAACAGAGACCAAGTCCAGGTTCTCAAGGGTCATAGTAGAAAAGTAACATACCCAATGTTAGACAAAAAATTGATAGAGTTTGTTAAAAAAAGAAGAGAAGAAAAAGCTATAATTACAATATTCATGCTTGTAAAGAAAGCTAAAAGCCTAGGTAAAACATTAAATATAAGAGATATAAAGTTTTTGTATAGGTGGGTTGAGCATTTCAAACAGCATCATAACCTGGTAAAACATGCTAGAACACAAGTAACTCAAAAGATTCCTGAAGATAAACTCTTAATTATTAAAAACTTTCTTAAACTTTCTTGTGAAAAAACATTTAATATTGAAAAAAAATCTATTTTATCTTTTGATGAGACACCTATGTACTTCGACATGCCTCTGGGTTCAATTATTAATTTTAAAGGCATTCAAGAAGTGTCAGTAAAAACTACAAAATATGACAAAGTGCAGTTTACGGTAGTTTTAAGTTATATGGCTACAGAAGAGAAGCTCTCTCCAACTGTAATTTTTAAACTAAAAAAAAAACAAAAAGGTAAATTTCTAAGAGACATTGTAGTAGCAGCTGCATCTTTTGCAAACATAACTGCAGATTTAATAATCTCTACTTATATTCTGTGAGTTATTCAGGCAAGACCAAATGGATTTTTTAAAAGCAAAGAAGTAATTTTCATTGATGTGCATCATAGTCATAATTATGATAATGTTATTAAGGCATTGAAGCAGAAGGCTTGGATGTTTTAGAAATTCCTGGTGGAACTACAAGTGTTTTACAGCCTCCAGATGTCTCAATTAACAAGCTTTTTAAGAATAGAATAAGATGAAAATAGAATGAATAGATGGATAAAGGAAAAAAACAATATACTAAGCAAGACAATCTAAAAAAAGCACTCTATGAACAGGTTTGTGAATGGGTTTCAGAGACTTGGAAAGAGATCAGTCTAAATATTTTGGTCAAATTGTTTGAAGTAGCAGGGCTTATATTAAACTTCAATGGAAGTGAAGACAGCAAAATGTCTAATCACCTTAAAGCAATTGTTGAAGACCATCTAGATAAATTTCTGATTAAAGGTGTATCTTCAGAAAATGAATCAGATCCAGGTAATTGTAGTTTATTACATGATAATAAGTTAGATAATATTAAATTAGATGATAATGTCAAAAATATTATAGATGATAATAGTATTGTTTTTGATAATAATTATGAATCAATTTTTGATGATAGCTGTAAATCAGTTGAGATAATAGAAATAGATTAATAATAGAATTAACTAATGAATATAATAAATATGTCTTTATAGCAGAATTTATATTTGATCTTTTTTTTTAAAAAAAAAACAGCAATTTTTTTTCCTAAAAAAGTATCTAGTGCTATTTTTTTCTTATTATAAAATTAATGTTAGTATCTGGTTACTAAAGTTGTATTAATTATAGAGATAAGATTTAAATATTTATTTTATATAAAATTTTGAAATTTAATAATGAACTATTTAAATAAATAAAAATTTCTATTAGTAAATAATCATGGATTATTGTAAAGTAATGAATATTCATTTCATTCTGAAAATTATTAGTCATATGATTGTATGTTTGTATGCTATCTAAACCTAGAAATAAATTGCCTTCTGATTAATTTAAAAATAAACTAATTTTTTAATTTTTCTATATACTTGAATAAAAAAATTCGAAGATGCATTTATATATTTAACTAAATCATTAGAAATAGAACTAGATAATGTATTCATATTAAATAATTATGAAGTATATATGTGAATAAATATATAAAAGTTATAAGATAGGTCTTTTAAAATGAATTTTTAATTAAATAATAAATTTTATTTTTGTGCTAAATTGTTGATTTCTTAACATTATATATATATATATATTGTCATGTGGTTATATTTTAACCAACAAATTTAAACTGCAACATCTATGAACAGTTCTTAATTATAATAACTTATATAATATAATGCTAAAATTAGTTAAACCTAATGCTAATTATAACTATTTCTACAAACTATAGATTCTTTAAATTGTAATACAGCTATATTATGCAACCTATATATGCAATATTATATACATTATTTTTTCCTTTAAACAGTATTTCAGTATTCCTAGTGACTAGTCAATTAAATAATAAAGGCAAATTAGCTTTATTAAATAAATTTGCATGTATGTATATAAAGATATATATAACCAGACTGCTCATAATAAAGTTGAAGTTTGTTATGCTTCAAGTAAATGATCCTATAAGTGTAAATTCTGCCCTATATAAAGTGACCATAGACTACCTCACTACACTATAATTGAATAAACTTTTATATTGCCCAGCCTGTTGTTGAGTATTGTGAGATAGATTCTTGTTAACTTGTGCATATGACTTTGATTCCTGTTTTTTGGTTTGTATCCAACGTATAATGGTGAAGCTGTAGCCTTTGATTTTAGCAGTATATTTTATCTCATGCATTGCTTCAACCATTTAATATACTGAATTGGTTGTAGTATTGAAGAATTTATATTGTATTAGTAAAGTGTTAAACAAAAAGCAAATACAAATCCAACTTGAGGTATACTTACCTAAAAGACCAGCCTAATCTGTCAAATCTAACTGTCTTTTTCATCTAAGCTGATTGTTGGTTATCTGAAAGTATTGTAGTTGGAAACATATTTGGAAGAATAGCCTTAGCTGTCATAGTCACCTTGATCCTTTATATTACTATATAGCATAGTTATAAGTTTATATAACATTGAATTTGCCCATCAACAAGAAGCTAATGCCCAAACTACTAGCAAATAAAGCCCTAGTAAAGTCAAAACTCTCAACAAAGATAAATTTCTCAAAGTTTTAAAAATGAATAAGCTAAGTTAGTGAATATGTATAGCTATTAAGCATAGCCAAAACCAATAAAGTCATGAAATCATACCACTTACAAGAATATACCAATAATGATGCATCAATATAACAAACTACCCAATGTTGCTGAAAAGAAAAAAAAAAGGCATTAGTATATATATAACTGAATAGCAAAACAAAAGAAATCATAGTGCCAGAAAAAAAAACTAATACTAGAAAAAGCAAACTATCAAGAGCAGAATTAATAAATACTAGCAAAAGCAAGAGCATTGACCAATGGCACAAACCAGCAAAAGCAAACCAAGAGCAAAGTTAACAAATATTAAAAAAAGTAAGAGCAAGCAAAGGCACCAAGAAATAGCAAAAGTGAAATTAGTAAGTAATATCAGTAAAAGCAGAAAAAGCAAACAAATAAGAGCAAAAATCAGCAAAAGCACTAAATGATAGTACAGACTAGCAAAAGCAAACAAAGGCATTAAGAAATAGCACCAACAAGCAAAAGTGAAAGTAAGTTAATATTAGCAAAAGTAAAAATCAGCAAATATCACAAAAAGATAGCACCAAGCTACTAGCACAAATAAGCAAAACAAAAAGTAAAAGTATGAAGTAATAATACAGATCAGCAAAAGCGAAACTATCAATGAAATAATGATTATGGCTAAAGCAAAGGCACAAGCTAGCAAGAGTGAGGCCACTAGTGAAATAGAATATTAGCAAAAGCAAAATATCTAAACAACATATACAGCAAAAATAAAAATAATAAGCAAACAACTAATGACAATTACACTAGCAAATGAAGTGCAAAAGACAAACCATACCAATAGCATCTTAACACTATAGTACCAATGACAATATTAGTGATAACACCAATGATGGCACCAATGATAACACCAATGATGACACTAATAATAAAATTAAAAGCCAATGCTAAAAAAATCTAAAAGCAATAAATATCTTATGCATATTAGTTATGATCAGCCTGGTAGAATTAACTTACATGTGAGAAGTTTAAAGAACCTATTAAATTTAATAATATATTACTCAACTTACATATTTAAGGTTCAAAAAACAGGTTTGTAAGTAGGATGCATGTTATTTAGAGATGCATATAGGCATTATTTTAAAGCCATATAAGTAATTTTTAGGTGATCAATTTTCTAAATAATGCCCATGTCTGTTATTTTATAACAATATGATATTTATTTTTTATAAATTAGTAAACTAATCACTATTATAGTATTTTTGCAATGTTTTTCCTTGTTATTACAAAATTTATAAACTTTATTATTTAATTTTTTTTAAATAATAAAAGGTTTAGTTTTTTTATTTTCAAATTTAGCAGATTGAAAATATTCTATATTCTTTCTAATTATTTATATTTTGTTACTTATTTTAAATGTTTATAATAAACATTAACAAAATTTTAAAATACAATAATTTTAAAATAATTATATTTAAAACAAAATATTGCAAAAGAATTTAAAAAACTATGCTAATCTTGAAATATTATTAAAAAACTTCACAATATTGTAATAATAAATAATTATTAGCAAGTTATTTTAGTTATAATAGTAGTAAGATCACTAAATTTGGTTTAGTATTTACTAAAATAACTCAAATGCAATTCTTTCAAAATATTGTTAAAAATTTTGAAATAATTGTGAAATATTTGTAAAAATTTTTTTTTACCTTTGGCAGCCATAATGATCAACCAGTCAAAAGTTTATTTATAAATGTTTAGAACAGACAATAAACAAATAGAACTAGATTTAACTTCACATATCATCATCATGTGATAATTTCAATTGGCATCTATAAGTGATCTGCTATATCAAACTTGCTAAAGTCTAGATCAAGCTTATTTATCTGCCATTCGACAATTGAATAGCACCAATCTGATATCATTCATTTGTAGAGAGATAAAAAACCAAAAAAAATTTTTTTGTTGAGAGAAAATACACTAAAAAAAAAGTGTATAAGGAAAAAATATAAAAAAAACCAAATATTAAGAAATAAAAGAGAAGAGGATTGCTGATAAAGATTAGACAAACAGTCATTAATTATAAAGACTATGTCAGCCTAATTTGCAATATTTTAAAAAAATTGCAATTGAGTTATTTTAATAAATATTTAACCAAATTTAGTGATATTACTACTATTATAACTAAAATGACTTGCTAATCATTATTTATTATTATTTAATAAAATTTTAAAATTGGTGTAGTTTTTTAAATTTTTTCACAATAATTTGGGTCAAACACAATTCTTTTAAAATTATTACATTTTAAAAATTTGATAATAAATTTTGACATCAAAAGTATTCTTTCTATTTCTATTGTAACTTATTCATCTTTTCTTTTGCATTATTTTGCAATTCAGATAGCTTGTCAATAAATTCAAAAACTTGGTGCAATATGCTATTTTGTAGATTGTAATTCTGTTTTTTTATAAGGTTTCATAGATAATAAAGCTTTAATTAGAAGAACAGCTTATTATCTATATACAAACTAAAATAGAGTATATTTAGTTGTAGCATATTTTTTTGTTTAATAAGCAAGCAGTATAATAATATATATAAATTTTAGTTATTATTTTCTTTAACTTTAGCAAATAATTCATATATAGTTTAATTTAAATGTTTAATTATTCTATTTATTTGTAAATAGTATAGTAAAAAGAACTTATATTTTATAAGAACTTTTTATATAAAATATGAACAGTTTTATTAATAAATTTCTTCTTTAGTTAGAAAGAATAATCTTTAATGTTTTATGTTAACAAATGATTTCTTTAAAAATAAACTAAGCTAAAGTATTTGCTTTAGTATCAGATATAGTATAGGCTTTTGGCTATTTTGTTAAGTAGTCAATGACAACAATAATATATTAATTATTTTGTTTAGTAATTGGTAAAAGTTCTACTAAATTAATTTTAATCCATTTAAAAGCTTATTTTATTTAAATAAGATAGTAAAGTTTAGTTTGTTAACCTTTTAATCTTTTTTAGCAATTTTTATATATTTTAATATATTTTTATACATATTAATGTATTTGGTTTTAATAGTATTGTTTAGCTATTTTATAATACACAGCATCTGTTTCTAAGTATCCTGCAGTAGGATGCTTATGCATTATATACAGAACAGATTTTACTTTATTCTATTTAATAATATGAAAAAAGTATTAGGAATTTTTTTTATTTTTCTTATATAATAGATCTTTTTTAATAATAAAATAGTTAGTATAATATTGTATTTGTCTAATTTGTTTCTGTGACAAAGAATCAAATAACTTGTTTAATTTTATACAATTATATATATATATATTTTTAAGATAACCTCTTTGGTCTTTTGACTTTTATTAATTACTTATTGAAATTGTGGTTCAATAAATCATTACAGAAGAGTATACAATTGGTTACATATGTAACTTTTCTATATTACCTATTTAAGAAGTCCACTTAAAGGTTCTTTACTAATTGGCATACCTAACACCTCTGCTTGGATGTTTCAATTTAAACTCTCTGAACCTGTAATCTGTGTTAACTCACTAGATTATCCCAGATGTCCAAATCATTATTTCAATCTTAGAACTAATTTATTCTTAAAATAAACCCTCTAGAAACTTCTGTACTTATTTTTACAGCTAACTTAGATATTACTATGGCAGAACCAACACTTGTGGTCAGGGCTTAACTATTAAACCCTATGCTTTTGTAGAGTTTACTTAGATCCCAGCATCTATTTCACAGTATAACCCTAGTACTTTAGTATACTTCTGCCTTTTTCTCTGCCTTTTTTACTAAACTCTAATTTAGATAGTCTGTATAGACTATAATCAGTCTATCAGTATATCAGGTCAGCCTAATATTTTTTCTTCAGTTCATTTTAGTGTTCTGGTTGATGGTACTTTCAAGATTCCCAACTTGAAGTTTCTTGTCTGTTCAGCTACTATGACTAGATACTAGACCTTGGTATTCATTTTACCAAGCTAGTTTTTACAATAGAGCTGTTAAAGATTCAGCTATCTCTCTATTTGGTTCTTTTCAAATAAACTTTTTATTATTCAATTTTAATAAATTTACATAATCACAAAAACTTATCTAGTATTTGCACTACCTAATTTGTTAGTTTGCATTTCTCTGTATAATTTTAATATTGCACAGATGTTCTATAATCTGCCAGTTATACTAATATGATTGTCATTACAGATATTCTAACCTAATCATTAAAAAAGTTGCTATAATACAAATATTATATAAGTAATTATTCAAATTTTTGCTGTTAATAGAATTTGAACATCCAACCTACTACTTGGAGGTTAACAACCTGACTATTTCACTAGGTTGCTACACTCCTTAATTTTATACAATTATATAAATTATAATAGAGGTCTAAATTTATAGGAAAAGATTTTAATATAAGATCTGAATCTGAAGTTAGAATAAGACATCTATATTAAAGTAAACTCATTTTGATTTATAGATAATTTTGAAGTTATAAAACTAAAGTTTTAGAATCTATTATCTTAAATATTTTTTAAATTTAGCAAATTGTAACTATTTAAAAGCAAAATAGTTTATAGGATAAATTTGGCAATTTCAAGATATTTATAAAAATGTTTAAT